ATTCAATGCCCCATTATTCACAGTCAATATCAGTGCCGCACCATCCGCGATCAGTTATGCCGCATTTGGAATCGGTTGTACATCATTCGCAACCAGTTCCAGACCATCCAGAAACAGTTATACATCACTTAGATTCGATGCGACATCATTCAGGACCAGTTTCACGGCATTTGGAATCACTATCATCAAATCAATTATTATATCAAACGGAAGGGATCACAGCAAAAACCGAAGTAGAAGTGCTTCCAGAAACTTTGGTATCGTCTTCAAGTGTTTCCGCGCCACGATTGGAGGACATGGTATCAGCTCAGCATTATTCGAATTCATGCCCAGAAGCACGACATGGTTCAACATCTGCCGCACAGTGCTCCTCGTTTCCTTCAAAACACGTAGTGTTGCTTCCATTTTCTCAGCATGTTCCATCACATCCGCAGTACCCAGTATCTCGTCAAGAGCATTCAGCCTCAGTTTCTCAATCACTGATGCCAACTACACAATATTTTGCTTTAAATCAACAGTACCCGGAATCAGCTAGACATTATCCAACACCAAGTCAACAAAGTATGGGATCGGCTTCATACTATCCGCTTTTAGGCCAACAGTACTTTGAATCAGCTTATCCAGTATCAAATCAACAAGATCCAGTATCAGCTCCAGATTCGCCGTTACCATTCTCACGATATTCACAATCAAATCAACAGTATTCGGTTCCAGATCGCGAAGTAACGATGCAAGCTCCCCAACATCTTGTGGCATTAAACCCACAACATCCAGTACCAATACCGCAATATTCGGGAGCAGTTCCGCAGCACTCCGAATCATTTCCACGATATCTAATATCAGATGAGATGAGACCAGCTCGGATAGATTCAGCTCCAGTTTCTGAATATTCGTCATCTAATTCCGATAACGATCCCATGTCAGTTACGAAGTACTCAGATTCTAATCCCGAGAATTCAGAGTCATCTTCAAGTGATTTGATGCTCGATCCGAATCCTCATAATCAAGTATCAGATTCTCAATATTCGCAATCATATTCACAGTATCCGATATATAACCTGCAACACCCAATATCAGGTTTGCAATACCCTACACAGAATCTGCAACACCCAATATCAGCTTTACAATACCCCGCACAGAATTTGCAACACCCCATATCACATACAGGACATTCGGTACCACCTTCGCATTATTTAGTGCCAGATCAAATGACACCATCACAAATGCATCTAAATTTAGAGAATTACAAATTACAAGATTCAGCATCACGTTTCGAGCATTCCGTATCAGCTTCACAAATCTCTAAAACAAATCAACAGTATCCAACGTTCGCTTCCCAATCATCGGTATCATTTTCACAAAACCCTGTATCAAATTGTCAATATTCAGGACCAGGTTTACAAAATCCAGCACCACGCCCAAGATATGCAGAAATAGTACCACAATATTCTGCTTATCATTGGGAATCAACTCCACAACCCCAAGTGTCCAATCCAATGATACCGACAGAAAATGAACCAGATTCAGCGAATTCGATATCAGCTTTAGTAAACTCAGAATCATCCCCAACATTTCCCTATGCAGTACTTCAACGGCCATATCGGATTATATCAAACCCATTTCCGTTGCACGGATCAACCTTGACGGATCCAGAACCAGTACCTTTCACAATTCCGGAATTATCCTCTGTACACACAGGACCAGCTCCCCCAGTCTCAGCTCAAAATGCCCAGGAATTATTTTCAATGTGTATAGAGCCAGCTCAGATGAACAATGAAACATCTTCATCAAATTCAAATGATAGCAACATAAGATGTTCATCTTATAAATGCCCATACTGCAACAAAAATTTTAAAATGTCCTACAAATTAAAAGCGTACGTTTATCTATCATGAAGAGCAGTGCTTAGATACTACATATAAAGATTGTTATTTTCATTAATTTATTATGTACAATTATAGATTAATTGCGCACTACAAACTTCTTTAATTCCAGGCACCTTCAACAGCACCACGAAGATATCTCAAATTTGCATGGATGACTAACTAGTTGTTAGTAAAAAAGAGGATTCAATTCTTCTAATTTAATGTTAATTTTCTTTTTATCGTATCAAATGATTGTTTCTGTAGTAATATTTTATGTGGTGATAACGCAGGAATAGAAATAACTCATTGATTACGTACTGGAATTATTTTGATGGAACATTTAAAACAATAATCGCTGAGATGTCGGTAAATCAAAAATTTCTTACATCAAAATGTACTAATTAATATTATTATTAACAGCTATTTCTATTGCAATCGGGAATCATATAATTGGCATAAGAAATTATTTGGCGAAATCTTTCATGCAAAAACTACTCAGGAATTCAGTTTTGATGAAACTTGTTAATTTCTGCTCTTGTCACAGACAGACGTTTCAAAAGATGCAAATAAAGTAGCCACAATGTTGTTTTCCACAAAATTTATTCCACAATCTTCACTCAGTTATTTTCGAACAAGACTATTATATCCAGAAATTTATCTTTCACTAACAAGTCAAAGTTAAATAGATCTTTAGTGCACAATATTTTTATAAATAAAATAACATAACTGTTTGAGCAGTACTAATACAAAATTCAATTCAAATAAAATATTTAGCATTATAATTGCTTTTCTTAAAAACAATATTTTACTAAAAACGGCTTAGATTTTCATGAAATACAAAAATAATTTCAAAGCAGTCAAACAAAATTATTAATTTGCTTCAAAACATGCTTGAATACTCTCTAGCAGCCACTGGAAGCCATAATTTAAACCTTGACCAGTAATGGCGCAACATGCATAAATCTCCCAATTGTGATCGCTTATCAAATTTAATCCCAAGAAGAGGCTAATTTCCGAAGTTGTCAGTGACCCGTTCACTTCCATCTTATTAGCAAACACAAGGATTGGCACCTGAAAAATGAAATGCAAGATAACAAAGAGTTCAGACACTAAACTGAACTGTAAAAAAATAACTGAATTGTAAAACAAATAGTTTTCATACCAGTTGGAACGGACTTTTGAAATAAAACTTTCAGAACACAAATTGATAAAAATGTTCTTGACATCTAAAGTAAAAGAAATAATCCAGTCAAATATTTTAATCAAAATAACCCAATAAGATCAAAGAATTTGTTATCACTACTGACTTCATTTGTTCAATACTGCTTCCAATATTTAATGTGCTCAAAAATGCAACCCTATAGCTATTATTCTAAATGTATTTAGTGAACGTTTGAGAGTTTTTCAATTACAATTACTAATGAAAATTTATTTCTTAAGAATACAGAAATTTATGGAGATTATATTGTTTGCAATAAGGCTGTTACAAATTTTTGCAGTTCCATTAAAAAGAAAATTCTATTATTAACTTTTAGCTGAATCGATATTAATCTAATGAAGGATGCGAAACAACTGCAATTCAACAAATACAATTTGAAAAAAATGGTAGTGAACTTTGCAGTTTTCTTAAACAACCTTAACAAAAATAATAACCTTGCGCAACATGAAATCACTGTGGTTTAATAATAACCAAAGTTCATCTCGAGCAACCGCGATACGTAACTGATCAGTGCTATCAATCACAAATATCACACCGTCTATTTCTTTGTAATGAGATTCCCATAAATTCCTGTATTTTCCTGCAAATTCTGTGATAGAAAACTTATTTAAATCTATAAAACTACTCCAGTTTTTATCGATCCAGTGATTGATTCATTTTCTGCAAATCGAAATCTGCTTCCTACATACTTATATTATAGCGATACGGCTTACATTTGTATTTACAATCCAAACAATATACTTTCTGGTGTTTACAGCTGAACATATAGAGAAGCTGCAACATACCTTGTCCTGACATATCAAGTACTAAAAACTTTGTATTGTTGAAAAAGAATTGTTCATTGACATAGCCAATTGTTGATGTAATCTGAAAAATGAAGCAATCTTCAGATCAACAAATTTTTCACATTATGCAATGAGCAGTTAATCAAATATTATTTTTGACCAACATTTCCTTTTTGGAATAGGTACTCAATCAAATGTTTAGTTAACCCACAAAATACTTCAAAATTTACCTTAGTATTTTAGAAACAGTAAAAATAGCAATCACCTGATTATTTCGTGCATCTGAAGGCTTCATATGATTGATAATGGTTGATTTGCCACTATTATCAAGTCCAACCACCAAAATATTCACGCTTTTTCGAGAAATTTTCAAAGCAGTCGTAATTTGTGATAACAACCCCATCTTTTTCCACTAGTTGGACTAAAGAATATGATTATTAAAATTTAATCAAAGTAATTTTCTGACGACAAACCCTATCTCAGACATATCACCATATTTTCAGCATCAGTTCTAAAATTTAAATGAGTATTCAGTTTAAAGAGTTTTAAATGAAAAACCACAATACTTTAGCACTATTCATAGCCTACAAAGCGTTTTTCAGCAATGATGTAAACAGTCTTAAAAACTCAATATCCTTGTCACTCAGCCTATCAAAAAAATGAGTGAATCCAATAGCAAATGCAACCATCAGTTGCCATGACAACTTTCATAACGCCTTACACAGTTAATTTCATGCGTCTTCAACGTCATTCAAATATACTAACAATCTTACCTTTTCCTTTGTTTATCATAGAATATCCATAACAAGCCATTCCTGACCAATTTGAAGATTCGATATATTGTACTCTTGCTTCAATACTCATCCCTTGCGACTGAAAGTATTGTAAAATGGGTACCTTCTACTTGAAATAACACTAATAACATTCACTTATGCGATTCAATTAATTATATGATTGTAGTAATTGCAAAATTGAAGTTCTTCGATACTGTGTAAGACAGTTTACAAAGTATTTATTAAGCTTAATACTAATGAATACATAGAAGAGATGTCAAGACATGCACACAACAAACAATAAACAAATTGAATAAAGCCGCAACACTTTACGACTCAGATAACCCGTAGAAGTGAAAGAGATTTAACAAAAATGAAGTCAAAGTAGTGCAAAAGTTTTTCTCATTTCCAACATAATACTGCGAATGCATGTGTTAATTATTCATTATATATCATAAATACGAATGAGTTTATATGAATGACTTGAACAGCATTCTCGTTATAATTCATCAAACAGAAATTATCTAACTGCTCACTAAAAAAAATGAAAATGAAGAAAAGCAGATTTGAAAAATAAATTCTACATGCTGATAAAACATATAACCAGCAATGTTTGAAGCACTCTCAGTCATTATACGGAGCATAATTGTTACAAAATTCCAATACACATATACGAGTCTCTACTGTCGTTTTTTGTTTCCAGCTCCAGACTTTCTTGGCTTCTTCGGATTACCTCCTAGCCACGAAGTCAACATTTCTGAAACATCTGGAACATCCATTTGCGGCATACTTCTAGCCATTTCCTGAAAAACTTGTGAGCTACTAAATCGCTTTTTCGAATTAAAGGTACTAACAAATAAAAATCAAGCAGCTTTTTAAAGAGAAAATTACTATCAACGATACAGCTGAACATTTTTTCATTTTAATATTCAACATTAACAATTTTATATTCCATTTTTGACCGAGAACTATTGCCGGCAAAGACATCGTACCGTAATGAATAATAAAATATCTTTTGATGTACACACCCCGGTATTATGTTACCAAAACTGCTAGTTTACTATGTTGGAGTAAAAAAAAGAACTTCACTACGTCACCTTTTTTAGTTCAGGATCATTCGCATTGACAAGTTTTGGTAAAACAACAAGCAGAACAAGAGGTACAACCATCATTAATACCATCGGATTAGTAAGCATATCCGTTAAATGCCATTCTTCCCTAGGCCGAAAATAGTTAATTCGGTGTAACGCATTTAAGCGCAGTGGATATGGAACTGAGGACACTAGTGATGGCTGAAACGTGCTAGTGATTTTGGAATGAAAAATGAAAGATACGAGAACAATAGACTATAAGTGAGTCTTAAATTAAGAAATTGCAACTCAAACGAACTGATTAGTAATTATTACTGTATTTAGTTGTTCTGAAAACAATGATCCAATGAATATAAATACCTCACCTGTAGTAAATTCAATCGTCTCGCTCTTATTTTACCTTTCGAACTAATATCAACTCGCACTGGTTCAAAAGCATACTCAACATTTGAAATTTCCACAATATAAGAACCTGAAGGAACTCCCGAAACAACAAATGACCCATCAAACCTAGAAACAAGTTATACATATCATGATAATTACTTCACTCACCAATTAATAATCTGATTTATGAGATAAATAGCATTATCAATATTAGCGATGCCACGATAAGAATATACCATGCATAAAACCTTCAACCCAATCTAAAAAAAAAAGATTTCGACGAAAGAATTAGCGACCAAATACTATTCTGATGTAATTTATTAGGCGAAACTACACAACAACCAACCGGACGAATGCAATATATTTAAAGCCATAATCTACCATCACTTGACTTGGAGTCATCTTGTTCTGG